GCTGTGTAGTCTGGTCGATGTTTACCAACGTTTCAGAGGTCATACTGCCTCCGTCATCAGGGTGATGAGTATGAAGATTTCTGTCTTCTGGGTTGTTGCCCTGTGTAGTCTGGTCGATGTTTACCGACGTTTCAGAGGTCATACTGCCTCCATCATCAGAGTATGAAGATTTCTGTCTTCTGGGTTGTTCCGCCGTGTAGACTGGTAGATTTCCACTAACGTTTCAGAGTCCTTGCTGCCTCCATCATCAGGACGATCAGCAAGGACATATGAAATGTTGTGAAACTTATACTACACGGCGTAACAACCCTGAAGACAGTAATCTTTCAGATTAACTACTGTGAAAACCTCAAATCTTATACCTTGTATTAAATTATCAGCCAACATACACCAAGGTATTAAATCCTGTACCAAATTGTTGGCTTTGCCTAAGTTAATAACGTCCTTGCAGTTTAATTCTAACGGTTCTCAGACTCACAGATTCGCCCCGATTACAAGGGGGGAAAAAATCGCAGAAATGAAGTTCGAATGGTTTATTTAAAGGTCGGTCTACTTTCTAGGCATTCATTTGAAGGTTATGAACAGAATTGAATAAAATAAAATAAAATAAAATCGTCAGCGAACAACTTAGAACGCTCTTCAGGGTCGGCCTGTCTCTTACTTACGTAGTGAGACGTAGACAAAAAAAAAATAATAAAAATATCCCGTCCCTTACAATTCACTAAAACGCAGTCAAATATCATTATAATTTAAATATCCAGGAAAGCAACTCAGCGGAATTTAAATGGGGCAGCGAGAGAGACCCCAAGCTCAATGCCACGGCAATGAGGTCACGCATTGCTCATTGTTTACGATTGTCTGCGGTCTATCGCCCTGTACCACTATCATCTACGTTGAGCTGTTCTGTTGGTGCCCTTGAATATCTGGATCAGGGTCGCCAACCGTTTCCGGCGACGGGCAATATGGCACTCCTGACGTAAAGATCGTGTTGGGGGAAGATCTGTTAATGAAGCGGTAAGACATTTTGTTAGAAAACGTCACCAAATCTGCCAATTAATTTCACATCTGATCACAATCTAGGTCCATGCTTGGCGCGTCCTCAGGTTGCGGATGGAGAAACAGCTTAGGTTAGCCACGAATATAAAACAAGGAGACGCTTTGTCTCCATTGCTCTTTAACTTTGCGCTAGAATATGCCATCAGGAAGGTCCAAGATAGGCAGGAGGGTTTGCAATTGAGTGGGACACATCAGCTGTTGGCATATGCTGATGATGTTAATTTATTGGGGGACGATATAAATACAATAAAGAGGAACGCAGAAGTTTTACTAGAGGCTGGTAGACAAGTGGGGCTGGAAGTAAATTCAGAAAAAACTAAGTACATGTTAGTATCTCGTCATCAGAAGACAGGCGGGCAAAATTATCTTAGGGTAGCTAATAAATCCTTTGAAAGGGTTACAAAGTTCAAATATTTGGGAACAACAATAACAAATCAAAATGATACTTGTGAGGAAGTTAGGAGGAGACTAAATTCCGGAAATGCTTGCTACTTCTCAGTCCAAAATATTTGGTCTTCCCGTCTGATTTCT